GTGGGCTGCCTGGGCGTGGGCGGGAGCCGCCGAGCGGGGCCAGGCCGACGGTCGGCGCTGAGTTCAGCATCGAAACCTACACCGCCAGCGGCGGCAAGGCGTCCGTCAAGAAGCGCATCGCCAGCACGATGGCGAGCGTGGCGCTGCTGCGGGAGTTCGGGCACATCAGCGAGCACGTCGGGGCTTTGGCTTCATGGTGCGGTGTGCGGGTTTGGAGGCTTATGGCGTTGCCGAGCCTGCCGGCTTCTGGTTCTGTGCCGTCGGCAGGTGTTGCTGTTGCCGTGCGCGATCGTCGCGGACTTCGTCCTCCTAGCGTCGGTGTGCATGAGGTCGCCCCGAACCGAGTTCAGCATGTTCTCATCGATATACCCGAGCTGCCTGTCGGCCTGCATGCCTTCAACGTGTACCTGCGCACTGGTGAGGGCGCCGCTGGCCGCAACGGCAGGCTGTTGCAAGAGTTGGGCCTCGCTGCTGAGGCACTGGACGGTCCAGTCGTCATTGGTGGTGATTGGAACATGTGCCAAGGCGAGTTGGAGGCGAGCCAGTTCCCCGCTCACGTTGGTTGTTTGATTGTGAGCTCGTCTTCTGTCACGTTTCGAGGAGGTACAGGTCAGTATGTTATCGATTGTATCCTCCTCAACTCAGCGGCCATGAGGATGTATGCCAGTGTGGGCATTGATGTCAAGTGGGCCAAGCGAGGCCATCGGCCTGTTCATATTTTCCTCAAAGGTGATGCTGAGCACGTCAAGCGGCTGGTCTACACGGCGGCGCTAAAGATGGACACCCAGATCATCATCGGGCCGCAAGTGCAGCCGCCCACCTACACTAGCGCTCGGTGTGTTGCCGAAGCTGCTGTCCAGTCGTGTGGCGATCCTGAGTCTCCCCCTGGAGTTGGATGGGGCCTTCTCTCGGCGGCGCGGGGCCTCTTCGCTGTCGCAGCCGCAGAGGCTATCGCGAACGCTGTGGGTCATCAGGATCGCAAAGTTCTGTTTGGTTTCGCTCGGTACTTGCAACCCCGGTGGATCGACATCACCTATGCGGTCAAAGACGCGTCCGACCTGCAGGCTGTGGCCGAGGGTTGGCAATGGTTGCAGTCTTCCCTCCTCAGCATCATGCAGTGCAAGACGGTGGCCAACCCGTCCGTGCAGGACCTGTCGTTGGCTGCTGAGGAGATCCTCAACTTCGCGACGGCCAACTACCATGGGCAGGGTCTTGCCGCACGCCTCGATCGATCTGTTCAGCAGGCGCGCGGCATGGTGCAGGCTGGCTTCGAGGAGGAGGCATGCCGCGAGTTCCTAGGGGACATTGAGCCCGACGTCAAGCTCGCGGTCAACGGAGCTACCCAGGAGGACCGCCAGAAGTGGAAGGAGTGGTGCGCCATAGCTGTTTCCAATGGCTGACGCGTCCTCCACCGCGCTACGAAGTACCGCGACGTTGCTCAGCCCACGGTGGTCCCAACGGCCCACGGTGCGTTGGCCCATGCGCGCGATGTTGTTCGGCACGAAGTGGAGTTGTACAAGAGGTGGTGGTCCAGTTCCCGCCCAGTGCCAGCATGGATTCCTGACCGAACGGCGTTGCCGAAGGTGAATCCTGGCGAGCTACGTGCAGTTGCGCGATCGTTCTCGCACAACACCACGGCAGCGCCTGATCATTTTCATCCGCGTCACTTCCTTCTCTTGGAGGATCAGGCCCTCGAGGTGGTCGCCCTGATGTTCAAGGCGATGGAGTCTTTGGGACTACCGCCGAGGCAGTTGTGCTGGTTGACCACACCGATGCTACCCAAGACGTCTGGTTCTGGCAATCGGTTGGTGGTGCTCCACGCTGGGCTCTACAGGATTTGGCAGCGGACGCGGCGGCCAGTGCTTCGAGAGCTGCAGGCCAGATTGACAGGCCGTACTGGGGTGCTGCTCGTGGGCGGTCCTCCGTCGACTGCGCGTGGCTTCAGGCGACCGAGGGTGAGGCCGACAGCAAGCAGGCCTACCACGGCGCACTCGCAGTTGCCGATTTCAGTAAGTTCTACGAGCGCATTCCTTTGACCAATCTGCGCGACAAGTACATCAGTTTCATCGCGCCCACGGCCTTCCTGAAGTTGGTGTACAACATGTGGCGTGCGCCACGTGTGCTGGGGTTAGCTGGTCATCCTGCGGAGCAGGCCCTTTGTGCCGAATGCGGTCTCCCTGCTGGAGATGTGTGTTTGTGATTTCTCGATCAAGGTATGGTTTGTGAGGGAGTATGACAGCTTCCTTGTCAGGCAGCAGTTCATTCAGTTTGTGAGCTACATTGACGACAACTCGATTCGGGTATCGTCTACCACGGTGAGCACGACTACTTCCATGGTGGTCAACGCAATGCTGGAGTTCAGGGAGACTGTCACTGAGCTCGACGCGATCATCAACAACAAGCTAGTGATTGTCGGCACCACCCTCTCCCTTGCGCAGGGCATCGTGTCCAGGCTCGGCCTACCTGCCTCTGTTGCGAGGCGCAGCGTGGTCTATGTCGGCGTCGACGTCAGCGAGGGCAGCAGGGGGGCCGACCAGGGCGTGCTCACCAAGCGCGCCAAGCGTAATGTGCATATGCTGAGGCGCACGCGGAAGATCAGGCGCTTCGGCAAGGCCATCACTGGCCACAAGGCGCAGTCTATCGGCCGTGCCATCCGCGCTGGCGCCTTGCCCGAGGCCACCTACGGCAGTGAGGTCGTCGGGCTCAGCAACTCGGAGTGGCTGAGGTGCAGGCGTGATGTCGCTCGAGGCCAACTTCCTCTGCATGGTGGTGTGAGCCTTCCGAGCAAGACTGTCTTGCTCGGTGATGGCGCCGCTGCATCCGCCATTGCGCCTGCCATCCAGTGGTGCAGACTGTTGTGGCAATCGAAGGTCTGCAGACACCCGCTCGCTGTGCGTGCTCGATTGTTGAGGCTATGGCGTGAAGCCAAGCCTTCTCAGGTCACCGACTGGGCATATAGTCGTGCCCCCTTGTCTCGAGCTGCGCTAGCTGCGCAGCGTGCGGGCTGGCGAGTCTTGTCTGCGATGAGCTGGATGGGCCATCGAGGTGCGACAATCGACGTTCGCAGAACGCCTCCGGGTATGCGTTCAACTCTCATGTTTGGTGGCATTCAGCGTCAGCACGAGAGGGCTTTGGCCATGCAGCTGGGAGTTCCGACAGGCTACAGGGCCTTGCTTGACTTCGTTCGGTCGTCGGTCGGCGGTCGGTCTCGACGGCTCTCTAGTCAGCAGAAGTTGCTTGTTGGGAGCTGCTCATGCCGCGAGTCTGGACCAAGGCCCGCGCCCAGGCTGCTGGCTACATGTGCGATGGCCCTTGTGCGTGCGGCCAGAGGCAGACAATCAAGCACTGTTTGTATGAATGCATGCTGCCTGCCGTCGTCGCCGCCCGCACTGAGGCTAAAGTCAGCCCGCTTTTCATCAGTGCAGGTATCGAGTCTGATGATCCCATCTTTGTGCAAGGAGTTCTCCTGTATGACGAGGGGGGGATTCCTCCCCCTTCCTGCTCGGATAAAGTGGTCCTCGAGGGCCCTGAGGGGGAGGAGTTGGCGGTTGAGGTTGAGGGGGTGGCGTCTCTCGTTCAGGGCCCTCGATTGGACGTAGCCCCCGACGGCTCCTGCACACGGCCAGGCTTAGTGGAGCTTGAGCGCGCGTCGTGGGCAATTGCAGTGCTGTCTCCTGGGTCTAATGTGCCCGTGGCAGTAATTCGAGGCCCTGTTGCTGGCAACCTCCCGCAAACGCCGAGCATCGCCGAAAGTGTTGCGCTTTGTTTGATTGGCCAGATCGCCGACCGCGAGACCCTGGCTGGCAGCGACTGTATTACACCCTGCGATTCGGCGATTCCAGCAGCCTGTTCAATTTCAGCTGCGCGCGTCCAACCAGGCAGCTGGCTTTCTGAAGTTCTGTCGTGGCCTGGAAGGCCACCAATTCATCTCGGTTCGGCACGTCAAGGCTCGTCGGTCCCAGGAGCAGATTGACAGTCTGTCGGGCGAGGGGCGCCACTGGGCCGAAGCGAACCGTTTCGCCGATCACCATGCTAAACTTGCCGCCAGTTTACACCCTGCTCCATCGCCAGAGTTTTTGGCCAAGCTTGATCTCGCGAGGAGTCGGGCTGCCGATTTTGTGGCGTTGGCTGCTGCCGTCCTCCCGTGCTTTCTCGAGGAGAGGCCGCAGCGGTGGCGGAGACCCACAGCACTGTGCCGACAGAGGAACTCTCGGGGGGAGGGGTGGCACGCTTGGGGTCGGGGGGAGCTCGGCTGGCAGTGCGAAGTCTGTTTCAAAGTTGCGCCATCGTGTCGTAACTTGCCGTTGAATGGTTGTATTGGGACCCCGTCGTTTTTGAAGCCTCTCGCGGTTGACTCGATGGGACATCAGCTCGTCGCCGTCAGTGGCTCTCGTCTTGCTCCGTTGCGTGCTGTGCGGTGCCGTGCCGAGGAAGAGAGCACTGAGGCTCGACGGGGATCCCTGTTGTGTCTGAAGTGTGGAGGTTGGAGCCAGGAAAAGGCCATTAAGTTGAGCAAGCCCTGTGCCCCCCTCCACCTGCACTGGTAAAATGATTTTGTCGCGTTTTCGGAGAGGGCTTGCCCCGAATCCCCGAATTCGTGCATTGATCGACCGAGCGCCCCACGCGTCGGCCTCACAGTGGCTAGTGCGAGGGATGTCAGAGCGACGACTTCAGTTGTTGAGTACTCGGTCGACAGTGCCATCTCGTATGAAGCTCGAATGGCTCGCTTGATGGAGCGAGTTCGAGCCCGCGAGAATAGTCGCCAGGTTTGAGGTTTCGCAGCGGGTACACCTGTCGCGAGCGCCGTGCGTGGCTTTGTCACCACGCTCGGCCTCACAAAATCTCCCCCTGATGGGGCACCCGCCCAACAAGTTTTGCGGGCTGGACCCTCTCTCAGAGGACTGTCCTCCTGGGAGTCGCCCCATCATCTCCTCCTCCTCCTCCTCCTCCTCCTCCTCCTCCTCCTCCTCCTCCTCCTCCTCCTCCTCCTCCTCCTCCTCCTCCTCCCCAGGGTGGTTGGCTGGAGGGGCGCCCGCCCCGTCTCCCTGCATTTTTGCGCTGCTCGCGCCCGAGCGGGCGGCCGCGCGCGCCGGGGCCCCCGCGATCGCCGCGGCGCGGCGGGAGCGCCCCAGTCGACTACACGTAAGAGTGACCTTTCCCAGACGTCGGGCGTCTCGAAAAAATCGAGACGGAGGTTTCTCATAATTAGTTTTCGGCCTCTCGGGGCCCTCGCCGGGCCTCGGGACCGTTAAAAAACGACTCGGGATGAAAAACCGGTCCCGGGGAAGTGGTCGGGAGGTCGGGGGGCGAGTTTCGAAAAAATCGAGACGTCGGATGTCTGGGTTCGCCGGAGTGACCTTTGGTGCGAGTCCAATGGGGTCCCCCGATCACCGATTGCGATGCGACCGTTGCGCCTCGCGCGCTCGTTTTGGGTCCCCCCCCGCGGCCCCCCAAAGAGCCGCGCACCAGAGGTCACTCTTGCCCAGGGTCACTCCCCAGACATCCGACGTCTCGATTTGTTCGAAACTCGGGCCCCCGACCTCCCGACCACTTCCCCGGGACCGGTTTTTCATCCCGAGCCGTTTTTTAACGGTCCCGAGGCCCGGCGAGGGCCCCGAGAGGCCGAAGACTACGAAAAACCTCCGTCTCGATTTTTTCGAGACGCCCGACGTCTGGGTCTGGCGTGCAGGCGACCCCGGGCGGGCGCCGAGGGGGCCTCGTCTGGCTGCCACTCTGCCCGCCGAGCGGGGGGCGGCGCGGGGCCGCCGCGCGCCAGGGCGGACGGCAGACGAGAGGAGGCGGGGGCGCCGGAGAGCGCAGCCGGCACGCCGCGCGCGCGGCAGCGGCGGGGGGCGCGCCGCCGCGGGGCGGGTGGAGGAGCACGAGGAGGAGGGGCACGGGTAAGGGGGGGAGGAGGGGGAGGAGGGGGAGGAGGGGGGGGAGAGGAGAGGTGGGGGAGAGGGGGGAGGAGGAGGAGGAGGGGGAGGAGGAGGGGGAGGAGGAGGAGGAGGAGGAGGAGGAGGAGGAGGAGGAGGAGGAGGAGGAGGAGGAGGAGGAGGAGGAGGAGGGGAGGATAATCATGCCCTGCGGGCGGAGGAGAGGAGGAGGAGGAGGAGGAGGAGGAGGAGGAGGAGGAGGAGGAGGAGGTCATGGGCATGAGGAGGGAGACTGACATTAGGAGGATCATACTTCGAAAGAAGAAGAATAAGAAGAAAAGCCAGGAGAAGAACGAGGAGGAGGAGGAGGACCCAACCAGTGGACATACCTACGACCAACCAGCACCCAGCCAGCACATCGACTCCAACAACACAGGCCAGTACTGACAACATGGCCCATCCGCAGCCCAATACACCCACCACCACCGCAGTTGAGGATAACAGTGATATCCCACCACCAAAAGCTGCGCCTGCACAAAGGTGGCTCATCGACTTTCCATCATATAAACGCACACCGCACACAGCTACTTCGCCCGAAAGATCCACCTGACATGCCTGACGGTCAAACAGGCTCCACACAGGTGCCAGCATGCAACGGATGGTTTGACACACAGCACGTTGACGGCACCGATGACAATCAGCTACTAAACTGCCGGGACGCAGTTCGCGACCACCAGCGACGCGATCAACAAAACTTCGAAGAGGTGGACAGATGCAGCTCACGACTCCGGGATACTCAACACCGCGACGAGATCACTACAGCGCTCAAGGCTCCTCCCGTGTCCAGACCCAAGTCTCGGACGGCCGAGCACGAAGCGCCACCGGCACCGAAGCCAAGCCTTCCGACGCACAGTGCAGAAGGACCATGCTCGGGCTAGTCTATTCGGGCGAAGAGAACTATGCACATGCACCGATCCTGACAACGCCCATCCTTGACCCAGGATCGGTGCATATACCTTCCTGGCCAAGGTAAGAGGGCGTATGCACCGATCCTGGGCTCAGGATGGTCCTGGCCAGAATCGGTGTGTGTGTGCACAGTTCGCTTTCCTCTGTCTATGACCTCGCATCGTCTGCAACGGATACTCCCAGAGCGTCAATGTCCACATGGACTGCGCTGCCCCAAACTCCTCCCGCCTCAACTTACAGGCGTTTGCACGTCGCGTCCTCTTTACGGTGTCCGTTCCTTCTCCTGCTGCTGATGTCCACCCGCGTCTACTCCTCTACCTTCTTACCAGTTTTCTGCTTTACTCTTTTTCTTTTATCACCCGCAACAGGGTTCGCGCTGAATCCGAACAAACAGGTTGCAACAAACACGCGGGTCCCATCACCAAGGAGGCTAGGGGCGAAACGATAAAGCCTTAGGTTGTAGCCTCATTATTGCTACGAGCGTCGAACATACCATCTCACAAGTGTTGCTTTATTTGTCCCAACGTATCTTTATTTGTAGCACTGAGGAGGCCAGCCAGTACTACTTGTGCCAGCCTAATCAGTTGCCGCTTCTTCATTCCCTTGAGTTTAAACATCTGCATTATACGTAAGGGCTTCGCCCCTTGCCGCCAGCCCCGTCTCTATCAGACTGGGATGTGTGTGTATATATATATATGTATACAGGAGTCGCGTCGGTGCGTCTCGGTGCAGCCTTGGCGCATCTGGGAATATCATACGGGGGCGGATAGGAATCATCAGCGCTTATCGAGACGTTGGCGTTATCGAAGACGCCTACGGCGAATCACCGCCGCCCCCTGCCTTTTTGGAAGCGCCTATGTGGCCGAACGTTGAGGCCAGACCTGCCAAGCTATCGGACCATGTGTTCCCCGAATCGGTTTGGAAAGCCTTCGGGAAACACGTGGGTATCTTGAAGGTCATCTTGGCCGTCTGGAAGCCATTTTGACTCTTTCGGGCCTTCTTGGAGGTCGTCTTGGAGGGCTCTTGGGCCGTCTTGGATGCCATCTGAAGCGTCTTGGAGGCCTCTTGGGCTGTCTTGGCGGCCTCTTGGGGCCGTCTTGGGCCTCTTGTGCGATCTTTGGGGGCACTTAGGCTGTCTCGGGCCGTCGGAAGGCAGAAGAAAAGCAAATGCCACAATCCTTCAAAAACTCATGGGAAATCAATGATTGTAGCTTTTTCGGCCCTTCCTGGAGGCCCTCTTGGAAGCCTCTTGGGCCATCTTGGGCCATCTTAGGGCCATCTTCGGCCGTTTTTGGTGGGCTCCTGGCCCGTCCGACGCCGTCGGAAGCCGTTTGGGTGGCCGACTTGGGGTCCTCTTGGAATGCTCCAGTGCCGACTTGGAGGCCATCTTGGACGTCTTAAAAGTCTCCTGGGCTTTCTTGGGGGCCTCTTGGCGGGCCTCCTCAGAAGGTTCGGAACCACCGGGGTCTTGCGAGAAGTTTTCTTCGTACGCCTTCCCCGAGAGCACGGAGTGCCTCTCGGCATGCCAGAGGGCGTCTGAGAAGCCCCACCGCCTTCTGAGAAGGCTTGACCCCTGGGCGCGCTGCCGATGATCTGCCTCTGCCGTTCGCGGCCCTGGCCCCCCGACTCCCGACGTCGTGATTTGTTCGCAACGTCGACCCCCAGAGGTCTGGACCCTTTCGCAGGGACCGGTTTTGCATTCCGAGTCGTTTTTTGACGGTCCCGAGGCCCGGCGAGGACCTCCAGAGGGCGAAAATAGTCAAAAACCTCCCGTCGTGATTTTTTCGCGACGCGAGGGGGTCTGGGCCCCTTGCGTGCTGGGCCGGTTCAGAGACGCTCGCCGCCCACCTGCCCGCCGGCCCCGACCGTGCCAGGTCCTGGACGGAGTCCAGGTGGGCGGGGAGGGAGGGCAGGAGGGTGAGGGGGGAGGAAGGCGGAGGAGGAGGAGGAGAAGGAGGAGGACGAGGACGAGGACGAGGACGAGGAGGAGGAGGAGGAGGATGAGGAGGAGGAGGAATAATGATAATAAGAAGGGAAGGACGAGAAGGAGGGGGGATGATGAGGAGGGAAGAGAGGAATCTGAGCGAGGAGGAGGAGGCGGGGGGGGAGGAAGATAATGCTACCAGACTGTCGGATCGTACAGCCATAGCGGTGGCGGGCCCTTGTGCTTATGAGGTGCGTGAGGTTCCGCCTTTTCTGAACTGGTGCCCAGGGGTCGTAGTCTTTGTCTGACGGGATGTGCTTGACTGGTTGTAACAATTTAGCCCACATGTCTGATCAAGACGATCGAAATAGGTATTTAAGGAAAACACGGGTACAAAGACCGACAGCAGTTCTGATTCATTCTGAATCAGACTCGCTGTCGCCGTCGCACGTTGTACAGTTGAGTCAGAAGGCCGCCTGCCCAATAGCGGCCGCTGTCGGTTTGGGATTTGGGACAGCGTTTGTTGTTAGGCATCGTACCTTTTTTCCGCACCCATTCCAGATTGGCGCTAATGATTTAGCCCACACGTTTGAGCAAGAGTGTGACATCCACTGCGGGCGGATAATTGAAAAAGAACTTTCGAGTGGGAGGGCGAGGCAGGAGGCAGGAGGAGGGCGGAGGAAGGAGTAGCGCCAAAGCGGCCGCCGCTGTCGTCGCCCGGGACTGCGACGGCCAGGGCGAGGCGGGGGAAGCCAAGAGAGGGAGGGACGATCGGCAGACCAAGAGAGTGACATTCAATCGGGAGATCAAGGTCAGGAGACACAGCTGGGAGACCAGGGGCACCAAGACAAGTACCAACTGGTTTAGTTCTCTCGTCAGTCTGGGTGCGGCACGAGGGCGGAGACGAGAGAGGAAGGCGGCCGCCGTCGCTCTTGTGGTCGCCCAGGGCGCCCCCCCCCCGCGCGAGGCCCGAGGACCGCCCCACTGCGGGGCAGTGCCTGCGGCACCCGTGGCTGCAGCGGTCCAGGCAGCCGCGCCCCGCAGAGTGGAGGAAGGGGGGGAGAAGGGGCGGAAGCCAAATGCGGAGGAAGGGAGGGGGAAGAGTGACGGTGGAGGGAGGAGGTGGCCATAAAAGAGAGGGAGGAGGAGCAGGAGGAGGAGGAGGAGGCCAGTGTGAACCCAAGGCCCATCAGAGATATTGCAATACACCTTCCCTCCAGGCTCCCTCCTCACAGGCCCCTGCAAGGATTCGTTTTCAATGGAGGAAGTGCCCCGATGGAGAATAACCGTTTGAAATTCCGGAACGGTGCCAGAACACCATTCATGGGACTTCAACGTCGCGAGTAGCCAGTATTGTTGCGTCTTGGCGATCCTGAACCGCGCCAGAAAACCATGCCTGGGACTTCAACACCACGAATCAACGTAACTGGTGCGCCCTGACAGTCCGACATCATGCCAGAACATTATTCCTGGGACGGTTACCGTGAAAACCCTTGAGCCGGTTGTCAACTCTCAAAACGGATATGCGCGGCGCAAAGGCGAGAGCCACCTTTTGAAAAGGAGCGCAGCCCTCCATCCGTTCAATTGTTGCATGTGTTATGACGACCGTGCGCGGCGCGCGAGAGCTGCATTTTGAAAATGGCCCGCCCTCCATCCGTGAAACTTCTCAGGAGCGAAAGAAGGACGTACATGTACATGGATCCACGCTGGTTTCGAGAGCACGCATTGCACAAA